ACAGCTCTGACTCTTGATGATGATGATGATGATGATGATGGTGGTGATGATTATGATGATAATGATGATTGTTGACCCAAATGTTGTTATTTCTCAGGAATATCTAAGACTCAGTTTTGCTGAGTCAGCGTGTGTCATTCCCACAATCCCATACTGCCATTGTGTCGTAATTCTCCTCATTAATCTTCTAACATGCTGAATAAAGAATCAAACACACCTGAATATCATTTTTCACATCAACATTTTTCACATCATCCTGAATGTGCTTGTGTGGTCCGGGTGTGTTTGATGAGGGCTGGAGCTCAAATCTGCAGTCAGTCACTGTTGTTTTAGTTTAGTGTTTAATAATATTTTGAAATTCACTTTTATTTTATATTTTCAGTTTTCATTTTAGTAGTTTTGTTGTGTTTTTTCATTTTGTTAATACATTGTTGTTGTTGTTGTTTTATACACTCACCGGCCACTTTATTAGGTACCCCATGCTAGTAACGGGTTGGACCCCCTTTTGCCTTCAGAACTGCCTCAATTCTTCGTGGCATAGATTCAACAAGGTGCTGGAAGCATTCCTCAGGGACTTTGGTCCATATTGACATGATGGCATCACACAGTTGCCGCAGATTTGTCGGCTGCACATCCATGATGCGAATCTCCCGTTCCACCACATCCCAAAGATGCTCTATTGGGTTGAGATCTGGTGACTGTGGAGGCCATTTTAGTACAGTGAACTCATTGTCATGTTCAAGAAACCAATTTGAAATGATTAGAGCTTTGTGACATGGTGGAAGTAGCCATCAGAGGATGGGTACATGGTGGCCATAAAGGGATGGACATGGTCAGAAACAATGCTCAGGTAGGCCGTGGCATTTAAACGATGCCCAATTGGCACTAAGGGGCCTAAAGTGTGCCAGGAAAACATCCCCCACACCATTACACCACCACCACCACCAGCCTGCACAGTGGTAACAAGGCATGATGGTTCCATGTTCTCATTCTGTTTACGCCAAATTCTGACTCTAACATCTGAATGTCTCAACAGAAATCGAGACTCATCAGACCAGGCAACATTTTTCCAGTCTTCAACTGTTCAATTTTGGTGAGCTCTTGCAAATTGTAGCCTCTTTTTCCTATTTGTAGTGGAGATGAGTGGTACCCGGTGGAGTCTTCTGCTGTTGTAGCCCATCCGCCTCAAGGTTGTGCGTGTTGTGGCTTCACAAATGCTTTGCTGCATACCTCGGTTGTAACGAGTGGTTATTTCAGTCACTGTTGCCCTTCTATCAGCTCGAACCAGTCTGGCCATTCTCCTCTGACCTCTGGCATCAACAAGGCATTTCCGCCCACAGAACTGCCGCTCACTGGATGTTTTTTCTTTTTCGGACCATTCTCTGTAAACCCTAGAGATGGTTGTGCGTGAAAATCCCAGTAGATTAGCAGTTTCTGAAATACTCAGACCAGCCCTTCTGGCACCAACAATCATGCCACGTTCAAAGTCACTCAAATCAACTTTCTTCCCCATACTGATGCTCGGTTTGAACTGCAGGAGATTGTCTTGACCATGTCTACATGCCTAAATGCACTGAGTTGCCGCCATGTGATTGGCTGCTTAGAAATTAAGTGTTAACGAGCAGTTGGACAGGTGTACCTAATAAAGTGGCCGGTGAGTGTATATAGTATATAGTTTATATACTATAAAGTTATTTCTAGTAATATTTCTGAAAAGTTACAGATTTCTAAAGCAACACTCTTTCATATTTTTGAAAGAGTGAAAGAGTCTCTTAACAGAGACTTAAAAGTTTTAGTAATTTTAGCACATTAACTTAAATTGTATTTTATTTAAATATATTAAATAATCATATTTCACATTTTTGCTTATGTTTTTTAAGTTTAAGTTGTGTGTGTGTTCAACTCGCCTCTCTCTCTCTCTCTCTCTCTCTCTCTCTCTCTCTCTCTCTCTCTCTCTCTCTCTCTCTCTCTCTCTCTCTCTCTCTCTCTCTCTCTCTTCTCTCTCTCTCTCATATGAAAGCTCTTCACAGTGTACAGTGTAACATGCCATTCCTGGAGCAGATATGGGAGTTTTAGGAGTTGGATGTTCATGAAACGGGGAAGAATGTGGCGTGTGTGAAGAGGTTTCTTCTGTTTCCACTGGAGTGTGTGAGCAGCGGGTGGTCAGACTCAGATCTGTCTGTCTCAAAGTGTTTGTGTGTTTAGAGTTACTTACAGATTTCAGATGCTGCAGGCCGTTTCTACATCTGTGTAAACACACACACACACACACACACACACACACACACACACACACACACACACACACACACACACACACATAAGGAAACACACTCACACAAACACACACTGACACACACACACATAAACAAACACACTGACACACACACAAACTCACACACGCAAACTCTCATACATGCACAGACGTAAACTCACTAACACACACACACACACACACACACACACACACACACAAACTAACACACACACACACACACACACGCACACTGTCTCTGTCTGCAGTACACTCTCTCTCTCTCTCTCTCTCTCTCTCTCTCTCTCTCTCTCTCTCTCTCTCTCTCTCTCTCTCTCTCTCTCTCTCTCTCTCTCTCTCTCTCTCTCTCTCTCTCTCTCTCACACACACACACACACACACACACAGTTACACACACAGGTTTATAATGACATTTGCCCCACTGTGATCCGCTGATTTATCCGGCTCGTGGTTTATCTCTCTCTCTAACGCTCCTCTTATCACTCCGCTCTTGATAATGAAGTTTTCTCTCTTCCTTTGTAAAGTTTGTTGAGGTCAGAGGCTGAAAGTGTGTGTGATTGGAGCCGTTGCTGTGGTTCGCTGTGGATTATCACACACGGACACACTCTGCAGGTGAACACACTGATAAAATGACTGAATTTAATAGAGATTTAATCACGTTCAGCTCACAGTAAACAGTGCTTGCTTTCAAAAGTTTATCATGGTAACCATAGCAACCGCCAAAACAACACGTGCCGCAGCAGTTCACGAACTTCCTGTGAAAACAATCATGTTCGGTGGCTTTCAGTGCATGTCTGTAGCAAATAAAATTAAAACATTAAAATTTTGAATATTAAATATATTTTATATCATAATATTACAAATTAAAATGGTTACAGTTTAATAATAATCTAATAATAATAATAAAACAAAGAATTGAAATGGTAACATTTTAATAACATTATGCATACATATTATGCATGTGTGTGTGTATATATATTTATACATTTAAAAACTAAAATAATTCAGTTAAAAATTCAAATATTAAAATACAATTTAAAATTGTAACATTTTAATAATAATAATAATAATAATAATAAAAGTCAAATTTAAATGTTAACATTTTAATAACATTATATCTAATTAAAATATGATGTATGTAATACATTTTAATAAACGAAAAATATTAAATACAAAGATTTATATATAATAATATTACAAATTAAAATTGTAACATTTTAATAAAATGATTCAAATAAAATTAAAATAGTACAATTTAAATAAATTTGTAAATCTATTAATTTAAAATCTGAATTTGAAATATTTTAAAATATTGTTGGTTTTCTATATAAAAAAAAAGAAGTGTATGACCAAAACAAAACACGAGACTCAGAGTTTATTTCTTTAATGTTTCAGAGTTTATTTCTGAATCAGTGATTATATCACACATACAAAACATTCGGAGAAGTACAAAAAGCAAAAAGAGTTGATCGGCCTCAGTTCCACAGAACAGTCCTCGTTATTCACTTCGATCAGTTTTTTTACACAGAGGAAGCGACTGATACAAAAGCACTCGTTTCTTTCCCAAACATCCGCTGCAGATGAACTGGACAAACCTCCAGCAGAGTTTATTTATAAGACCGAGAGATGTTTCATCAGAAATGCACATTTTTGTATGTGACGGAGGTGGTGTTTGTGTACGAGGCCAGGGTTTATCTGGAGTATGTGTAAATATTTAACGGGAGCCGGACCGCCGAGAGCTCGAGACTTCTGCGCTGATTTATGCGAGTGTTTGTTATCTGAGCTGAATAACAGTTGCTACGGATCTGACATCGATAAAGTCCAGATAAAATAGCATGTAGGGTCTATAAACATTTATAAAGTTCACTCTCTCTGTGTTCTTTAGTTTAATGGTGTTTTGGTTCCTGATCATTATTAGTCTCAGGTCGTTCATTAGTTCCTGCACCTGTTGTTGTGTGTCACCTTCATTACTCCACCTGTGTTCAAGCCCTCAGTTTGCTTTGGGTGTGTGTTAGTTTGCTCCTGCGATCTCCTATATGTTACTGTGTGGATTAATCAAGAAGAGATGCACAGCTATAAAAAAAATTGTCCGATACCGATAACCGATCATTTTTCATATTTGAAAGCCGATAACCGATATATTGGCCGATAAATCTAAATCCAAATTTTAACATCATTTTTGAGAGCCTTATTACAAAAACCAAAGTCTCACCATTAAAAGCCACGCCCCAAACACACAATTATAATGTTCGTATTATTATTTTATGTTGCCGATATGACAGACTTGCGCTGCACATGTTGCACATTACTGTATTTTTCCTTTTTTGAAGTGATTTCAATCATTTCAAGCAACTCAAAACCCTCCCTTTGGAGTGCACATCTGAAGTGTCTCAGCTGAAGAAAATAATCCATTATTTATCGTCTTTAATATAGCGGACACATTTTCTTACCGGGCCGATACCGATAACATTAAAAAGGAACATATATCGGCCGATACCTAAAAATGAACATATCGGCCGATACCGATAACATTAAAAAGGATCATATATCGGCCGATACCTAAAAATGAACATATCGGCCGATACCGATAACATTAAAAAGGAACATATATCGGCCGATACCTAAAAATGAACATATCGGCCGATACCGATAACATTAAAAAGGATCATATATCGGCCGATACCTAAAAATGAACATATCGGCCGATATCGATAACATTAAAAATGAACATATGTGGGCCGATACCGATATGATGGCCGACATATACCGCGCATCCCTAATAAAGAAGTCTTTGTTAGGATTCTCCTGCGTCGTGCGATTACAACGGCCACTATTCATGACACTGATTAAAATGGTTTACAGCTGTTTATATTCTACTCGTCCTCTTTTTCTTCCAGTATTTCGAATATAGAAACAAATCAAATATACATGTCCAATCTGCAGTAATCTTTGGTGTGATTAATATAATTCTGCATGAATTCTCTCCCTCACTTTGCAGAGTTTTTGATGGGTTCCCAGCCGACTTCAGCGTAGACTTTGTTCATCTGCCAGTACAGGACGCCCATGAGCTTAGACCACGCCCCCTGCACCGAGGCGGGACTGAAGCATTGTGGGAAAGCTTCCACCAGCACCTCCAGGATCACTCCGGCCAGAATCTGCAGGAAAAGTAAAACGATTTTTATCCAGCAAGAACACGTGATTAAATATGAATCAACTCAACTGTTTTCAACACTGATAATAATCATGAATATTTCTTGATCATCAGATCATCATATTAGAGTGATTTCTTAAGGATCATGTGACACTGAAGACTGGAGTAATGATGCTGAAAATTCAGATTTGATCACAGGAATAAATTACAGTTTAAGATATATTCACATAGAAAACAGCTATTTTAAATTGTAATAATATTTCACAATATTACAGTTTTACTGTATTTTTTACTAAATGAATGCAGCCTTGGAGAGCAGAAGAGACTTCTTTTAGAAACACTTTATTTCAATAGTCCACTTTAGACATTATACTGACTAAGTAACTTCACAACCACATGTCAACCAGGGGTCGGTTGCACCAGCTGTGTGTAAGTTGCAATTTAGCCTAGTTTTGATATAAATGGGCACCAAGTTATAACTTTCGCACAACTAAATATTCTTGCGTTGCACCATTACATTTATTTGAAGCGTAACTCTACGTATAAACTAAATATGTACTCCGATTAGGAGTAACGGTTGGAATACAATAGCAGACTGATTGAACTGCATCAATAAGCTCTTATTTTACGCAACAGACTTCAATCCTTTAGACATATATGACTTATATTTTCATTTTTGACCGAAAAATTTTACGTTTAAAAAAAAACATTTTTACTTCATCAGAATGGTACGAAACTTGGTAAATGTTCTCGCACTTGCTATGTCAAAAGAAAAAAAAATACCATGGACATGATTCATAAAGGTTAAATGGTCCTGTAAAAAATAGTCACACTTGTGCTCCTCGCGGTCAAAAATGAGCGCATTGGAAATGAATGAGACGAATTTCATCTAGTGGAAGCGTTCGGTACTGCGGCCAAACAACATCTGACTAAAAGCAACATTTTTGGAGATATCAACCTCAAATTTGGAACACAACTTGTTCAGATTTATAGCTTTGATTTTCTTGCAGTTTTAGAGTAAAACGTGATTTTGAAAATACATTTTTCATATAAAAATTGAAAATAGTATTTTGGTGCATTTTTCATAACAATACACGTTAAAATTCGGATACTTTTTTAAGTTTATTCGGATACTTTTTTACTTTTTTTTACTTTTTTACTTTTTTAAACTCGCTTTAAAAAAAAGTTTTAAACTTTTTGAAACAGATCAAACTTTAGTCTCTGCTCTAAAGCATTCGAGATTTACGACTGTGAATCGTAAATAAAAGTGAATAAATGGATTACAACGTAAATATATTTGAGTATAACAAAAATCCCCTAAAAATACAAATAATTAAATAAAAAACATTATCAAACTAAAATATAGTACATTCAATTCATTAACAAAAAAAAAAAGGTCATTTTTGACTGAAACGCGAAGAGCGCCAGAGAACATTATGTGAATAGATAACTATTTTAGTTTAGCTCCAACTCCCCTGCTTGGAAATTAAGTGTCAACTTGGATATTTGAGTTGCCTAAACTTACTTGCAAACACTTACTTTTTTAAGTTGAAACAACACTTTTTTTTACAGTGTGGATCAGATGTTTTTAATTAGGGTTGGAGCTAAACTCTGCAGGGCTGAGTTTGAGACCACTGTTATAATGAGAGTTAGTTGACATGTAGTTGCAAAGTTACTCATAGTCAGTAGAATGCCTAAAGTGGACTATCAAAATAAAGTATAAAAAATCTAAAAATCCAGAACTGATGCATCCTGTCGTTTGTTTCCTCATACTCACTTTGAAGTAGACGGGATCCACCTTGTGTCTGAGCGCGTGTGATTTGCCCATCTGGCTGAAGACGGTGTTGAGTTTGTCTGCGTCGCGCAGGTTTTCCACCAGCGAGTTGAGGGTGGTCATGACCCGCACGGCGTGCTTCTTCAGCTGGACGCTCTGCCGCATCTCCTCGGGATCCTGCATGTCCCGGAACTGACTGAAGTACTGCTTCGCCGACGGGAAGTTCCCGAAGAACCTGGAGAAAACACATTTAGGTATGTTTACAACAAACATTTCCTTTCATCTGGACCTGCCATAAGATTCAAAGAGGGCATATTAAGTCTTGATGTTGTTTTTGGACTCTAATAGAACAGGTTTTCATGCTTGAATATTTAAAAACACATCGTTTTCCTCATATTCTCCACTGTTGCGGCTCCTCTCTTCCCAGTCTGTCAGTAACGCTCTGTTTAGTTCCTGTCTCTATGAAGCCCCGCCTTCTGAAAAGCTCACTGTGCTCTGATTGGTCGGCCGGATCGGTGTGTTGTGATTGGTCAGTGTTTGGGAAATCTCCCGGCCCTAATTACCATAACCGCCAGTTATAACACACTACTAACTAACTCACCCAGGCTCCGCCCCTTTATTCTGCGTATGAATTATTTAAATGAGGAATATTGTGACGTTCGTTCTCGGAAGAAACTCACGACTAATGGAGGCGTTTCAGGGAGTTCAGGAACACTGACACTTAAATAGAGAAGAACTCCCGCTGGAGGGACTTTAATAATATGATTGTTTTTCATTTTTAGTTTTTAAGTGATCCTGAATTGATTTTACAGACATGTGTACGTGGGCCAAACACAGAAACATTTCGAATCTGGAACAGAAGATCCTCGTCATCATGTGATCAGAGTAAAGTTACAAATCTTCATTAATTATGATCGTTTATGCATTTGATTTACTATATTAATCTCTATGTCTAGCTTTGTGATGTCACAGTCACATTAGCAGCATCTTTGTTTATACTCGACCATTAAACGGTTAAAAGACAAAACCAAGTTTTGTTGGTTTAAAATGTTAGGTAAATTTATAAATTAAAGACCTAGTTCATTTTTCTAAATTTGTGTAAATTTAGCAGAAATTTTAAATAAATGAAAATAAAACATGTAGTAGGTCGTGGATGATTAAGTTTTTTTTCCCTATTTTAACAGGAAATACATCATAGAAGGGCTGTGCAACCGTTTCATAAGGTTACAGATAAAAAGTGAACAGAAGAGAGCTGCGCTGTGTGTGTGTGTGTGTGTGTGTGTGTGTGTGTGTGTGTGTGTGTGTGAGTGTGTGAGAAAGTGTGTTCGGACCCAGCTGGACAGATAACCGTTCCTTAGATAATATTTAACCAACATTGCTGAAATTCTCCTCCACTTTCAACAAATACTGCAATAAAACTCAGGGAATGGCTTTTTTTTAACTCGGCTTTGTAATGAATGAGTTCAGATGCAGTTAAAGGGATGTTTAGCACACTTAACCCTATAGTGTGTGTGACTACCGTATGACAGGTGTTGTGTTTGTGATTCTGGTATCTCTCGTCCAGCATAAGCAGCTCAAACACTCTATAATGTTTAATGTTTCTGGCTGTATGAATATGATTCTGTGTTTACTATCACCTAAACACGTCGATCTCTCTCTCCATCATCTCTCCATCCGTGTGTTTCTGCCTTGACTTGATATTTTAGTATTGTAGTATTATAGTATTTATTAATATTTCAAATTAGCTTATTTTGTCATGTGCAGCCGCTAGATACACAATAATAAGTCACACTTGTTTAATAAATTATTTAGGATGTCAACCTGTTTTGATATGCAAAACTTAAATCATATTAATAATTTAACCATAAAGTTTTGCATATCAATACATGCTGACATCCTAAATAATTTATTAAAACATTGTAAATAATAAACTGTTTTTGCAAAAAAAAGAAAAAAAGAAAATCTATAGTAACCAGATGTTTGACACTGCCGATGCCGAGTGTTATGGATGGTTGCCAGGGTGTTGCCATGCAGTCGCTAAAGTGTTCCTATTGGTTGTTAGCATGTTGTTATACGGTTGCTAGGCAGCTCTGGGTGTTTGCAAAGTGGTTGCTTACTAAAAAGAATATGTACGCATGAGCTAACAGTTCTGTGTCGATAAAGAGCAGCAAATAAAAGAGATATATGTATAATTCAGCTCCAAACATTTCTAAATATAAGGATCTGAAACATCACTAATATCCCCAGTGTTACTGTAGGTGACCTCTAGTCTTGAACGCACGCTATAAGTGTTTGTTCTGATGAAACACACTTCAGATGCTGCATGGTCACTTGAAGGTTTCGGATCATGTATTTTCATCTACAGGCCTCAAACATGACGGCTTATAAGAGGCTGATCGTAAATCCTGCAATCCTGAAGTTTAAGATGTCCTCAAGGAGCGAGTTTCAACACCACTGCTGAAGTGTGCGATGGCCCGCAGGAGTGTTTGTTATGATTGTGTGCGTAACGGTACGTCCCGTTCTTTTAAAACACACAAATTGCTGTGTCATCTTGCCTTCAATTTCCTTTTAAGTGATTTGATATGTCTTCACCTGCATTATCTGACACTCACAGCGTATCCCACATGTCTGAATTCCCTGTTACTAATGTAAGCGGTTGACGTATCTGACATCCGATCATCCTGAAGGTTTTTGGGCTGATTTATGTATCTGAGATATTAGTCCTAGCTAGTGACTGTTATATTACAGCAAAACAAGAGTGGACTGGTTTACCCTCTTAAAAACTTAAAAACATTTCAAAAAGAACAAAATGAATGCATAGGAGAGTCTTTCAAGTTGCTCAACAAAAGGGTGCATTGAGTTATGATTTCATGTTGGCTTCCAGATTTCAGACTCCTGCATCTAATTTGCTTGATCTGATACAATTTTTTTTTTAAATACAGGCTTTTTTGTGTGTTTTTACAGCCGTTCCCGTACCAGAGCGGCTTCTAATGTTGATCTTTCGAGTCCCACCGGCCTCTTCAACTGTATTTCACCTCAGAACTGAACCTTAAATCAAACCGCAACAGGACAGGAAGATCCGTCCCATTAATTAGACACGGAGTCGAGTAAATGCCGAGAGAAGAGACTCATCCTTGCATGTCCAAGTCAAACAGCAGATAAAGGGAGCCGGTGTCTTCTCTGTCCTCCTAATGTGGGTCATTACTCATGTTCGAGTACACCAGCTCTTAACCTCTGCCGTGTGTCAGCGGCTGGACGGCCAACAAAGGCACTTCAAATCCCCTGGAAATGTTGAAGCAATCATGGGGATGTTAAACGGAGCTCGAGTTATGAAGACACTCTTAGTCCATGTGCATGTGATAAGACACCTTTAAAGAGCCAGATCACCCAATCTGATCTTTACAAACCACACTGTGCTACACGGATCCCATAAACTTGGGTATAAGGCATGTCGACTGTACGATGATGACCGCTATTGAATCGTATGCTTCAATAAGTTATAGAAGAATAAAATGTCATCAGTATGCGCGAGTGGTAAACAAATAGAGCAAGATGAATCGCACTTTAATTGGCAATTGTGTTTTTATGTGCGCTGATAAAAAGTGGAGGAAGCGAAAGAGGAGAAAATGGATGTGCGAGTAAGTCAATGTTAGGGAAAAGAGGACAACTTGCCATGCCAATTTTGCAAATGGATCTTGAGGTAAGTAGTTTAAAATTTTAGCGCCATGTCGCGTTAATCAATACGCCATTTGATTTCATGTTGCATGTTTATTGGCTAGTCAGGCGACGTTGGAAACACAGCAAACACACTGTAGAGGATCATGCTAAATTACTGACGCTGTCTGAACATTATCACATCAGACTATCTTTGGTCGCAAGACCGTGACGTCGGCCGTCTTCGAACCTCCCTCACATGACCACAGAGATCATTGTCATTGGTCATCTTTCGTCTGGGACAGCCCACAATCGTACAGTGTGTACCAGGCAAGTTTATAAAAGCTACTTAAATGTCCTAATTGAACTGAGGCCTAATCCTGGCTTAATCTAAACCCTGTCTGTGAAATTAAGCCTTAATGTCATTATTTAAGTGTAGATTGAATCATATGGTTTAATTTGGCCTGATTTGTCAATATATCAAAATGAGTTTGGAACCAGTGTAATTTGAGTAGTATTTATATGCAGTTTTAATTTGTTATTTGTTTTTTACTGTTTCTAATAGCTTTAATTTATTTTAGTTTATTTTTCTCTTTTTGATTTTTGACTTGTCGTCGCGCTATCGGCACTCACTTTTGTTTCCGTTTTAGTACTTCAACTTTTTTAATTCTATAATTTCAAATTTCGCTTAAGTTTTTCACATTCATATTTTATCTTTTTTTTTAGTTGATTTTCAATCATGTTACTCAACAATAACAACACTGTTTGGGGTGACATTAAGTAGCCTAAGTAAAGGCCTGTAAATTATGACAATAACTATAATGTTGTAGTCTGTTAGACGTTAATATAGTTTTCATTAGTGTTAGTATGTCGGTGTGGATATAGTTATTGTCTGTTGGTGTGGACACTAATATAGTTATCATTGTTGGTGTGAATGAGTCTTAAATGATAAAAGTTTTATTTTAATAAGTGTTATTTTGGGGTGAATTAACCCTTTAAGTCACACAGTTTAAGTGTGTCTGCTTAAGCGAGGTGTTTTGCCGTTTGCTACTTCTTGGCTGCAATCTGGTGCTTTTTGTCACCGAGTATATTCACGGATATGAAAGGGTGTCTTATGAGCTTCAGCGTGCGCTTGGGTTTATATAAATGCTTGATAACATCTGATTTATTCTACTGACCTGCTAAATTAAAGCATCACAGAGCTTCTCATGTGAACGGTCTGAGACGTCCATTTAAAGCACGTTCCCTCTGAGAAATAAGTCTAATTTCACGAGCTGAAAGAGTTTAATTATAAATCTTTATTGCAGCCCTTCAGGTGTGATCTCAGAGAAGATGTGAGCCGTTATCTTTAGAGAGAGAGACGACTGCAGACATCCATCACGGTCTTCAAACGCGGTTATAGATGAGCTCAGGTCAGGAGTGAAGAAATGTGAGGCTTTCATGTGGAGAAACTTCACACTACATCAATGAATGATTCGCTCAAATTCCTGAAGAACGTTAGAAGAACCGCATGTTCTTAACAAGGAGGAACGAGGGATGTAATTTAGTACAAATATGATAAGTCATAAAATCATAATTTTATTAATCTGTTGGTTTTTTTGGGTGTGGTACTTGTACTTGTAGATCTAGTGATGTCATGCAAACTAAGGTTAATGGGTTTATGATATATTGATTGGCTTTAATCGATTGCACTTTCTTTTAATGTTCATGATTTATTTATTCCAGCTGTATTATAAATGATCTTGAACTCTTTCAATTACAATCTTTTATAGCCGTGCCAGTAGATCTAGAAGAGCGATAGAGCTGGGAGTGAAGTACATCGAATCAGTCTGTGATTTGCGTGACTTAATGTGACCGATGAACTGAATTAAAATGAAATAACAAACTGTCGTGACTCAATATCTTCAGATATCTGGCCTGAATTCTCTTTGATTTGCTCTTTTTTTGTTCTTTACACAAATGCATGTTAGTTTACTTCCGCGTTTGATCGTGTCTGAACATCTGTAACAGAAATACTGTCCAAGATTAATGTCCTGTGATTCCTGATTCAAGTATTTGTGATTTGCTGAGAAACTGTGGTATTATCAATATCAGATTCACCCCTAAATGGCACATAAAAACGAAATATAATGTCGTATTGAAATATGTTTTAGATGATATCAACATTGCTGTCCTGATTTAGGTGTGTGGGTGTGGGTGTGTGTGTGTGTGACATGTGGTGAAGTGTTTACAGAAGATCACGAGTCAGTGTGAAGGAAGCGAGAGAAAGTTTCTTCACTAAAGCTGTGATCTCTGAAACCATGAGGAGCAGCTGGAGATCCCATCAAGGTCAGTATGTTCATCGAATCCCAGCAGTCACACCTCAGCGCTACCCATAATCCCCCTGCATCCAATTTAACCTCTTCTCTTTCAATATACAACATAAGCAGCGCCAGTGGGATTCGTTTTCACTTTCATGTGATGCCGCCATAGAGCGCTGGTCCTCCTGGAGTCACCTGACGCTCAGTGTTTTAATCACCAACACTAGGATGGTTCACCACTCGCTTTTGAACCAGCAAACTTCAGATGACCAGCTCTCGACCTCTACAGCACATGTGGAAACGACTCGACTCTTCAAAAGCTAATAGGTTTGTGTGAGAGTTTATCATCATCAGCTCAGTATGAAAACAATAGAGATCGATGGAAATTGATCCGTGTGCTTATTTAACTCTTACTGTGGGAATACCATAGTACTCTGAAATATACCATGCTACTGTACTGAACGATTACCATTCAAAGAATACCTTGATATTACCATGGTAAAAAAAAAAAAAACATGGTGTTACCATGGTATATGCCAAAACAACCATGAAAACATGTTACATTTCCCAAAAAACCCCACTGTATTACCAAGCTGTATGTTCACAAAAATAAAACACCACGGTGCATATCAAAAACTATGGTTTAACTATGGTAAATGTCCAAACATCCATACATGTAAAAAAAAAAAAGTACTATCAAAAACTATGGTATAACTATGGTACATGTTAAAAAAAATCACTGTACCACTATTGTGCAATTATCAAACTATGGCATAACCATGATAAATGTTCACACAACCATAGTATTTACTGTGATACAAGTTAAAAATGGTACTGTACATTTGACCAATTACACAGAATACTAATTATAAATGACAAACATGGTAAATGTTCAAGAACACTGTAATGGTATGTTCAAAAAACGTTGGTACATGCTCAAAAAAAGGGCAAAACCTGGTATTTCTATGGTACATGTTTAAAAACATCACTGTTACCACTATTATGCATTTTGCAAACTATGGCATAACCATGGTAAATGTTCAAACAACTATAGTATTACCATAGTACCAAGTTGGAATTACCATGGTAGATTTCCAAAAACTACAGATTTACAAGTTATAAATGCCAAAACACAGTATTATCATGGCAAATGTTCAAATAAAATGCAAAAACAATGGCATAACTATGGTAAAAAAATAAAATACAAAAAAACAGTATTACCATGTTACATGTTAATTTTTTTTTACTGTACCACCATTGTGCATTTTGCAAACTATGGCATAACCATGGTAAATGTTCAAACAACTATAGTTTACCATAGTACAAGTTGGTACATTTACAAAAACTGAAGAATTACAAGTTATTAATACAAAAATGCAGTGGTGCAAATGTTCAAAAACATAGTTGTACCATGGTAAATGTGCAAATAAAATGATACTTCCATGGTCTATTTAAAACAAAAATGGCATAACTATGGTAAAATGTCCACAAAAAAACAAACACAGTATTACCGTGGTACAATTTTAAAACATGGAGGGTAAACATCCAAAAACTATATTATCACCATGGTACAAGTCCAAAACAATGTGGTATTACATGTCCAAAAGCCTTGGAATAACCTAAGTAGAAAACTATGGTGCATGTTCAACCAGTTTTTGTGAGTGATGGACGTATGAACAGGCGTACCTGATGAGCACAGCGACTCCAGCATTCTCTCGGTTCTCATAGACGGGTCTCCACGTGTCCTGGATCACACACACGTCTTCCTCCGTGAGAGTCTCGGGACTCAGTGTGAGCTCCACATCTCCGTCTCCCTCCATCCAGACGCTCGCTGAGAAACACTTGA